CCTACAGGCAGCCTGATTCATTCAGTATACAGAATACTCTGCTAAATTTGATAGCTCATCATGCAACTTCATGAGATTCTTTTAACACACTTTTTTTTTTATATGCTTACTTATCTAGCTATTTTCAAAAAGCCAGCAACTTCCACATTTCTCCACTTATACACCCACATAAGCCAGGGTTGGAATTTTTGGATTCAATGAACATCTAACAAAACTGAAAAACACAGCAAAAAGCTGGCTGTTTAGTTGATAAGGGGAGATTATTTTAATCAACTTGCGATGACAGCAACATCAATTATAATGTATTTACTCATCTTAAACATTTTAAATTACATTTCAGAATCCCTATGAACATAGGTATTGTTGGGGTTTTTTATGGTGGTTTTTGCGACAGAAAACCCCAGTAAGTAAGCATCCTAAAGAGTTTGGCATAAACCCAGGATGTCTTCTATTAAGTCAAGACACTTTGGATTAAGATAATTCATAGCACTTATTTTTTTTAAACACTTTACCTGCATTCCTTTGACTTCCTCTATTACACTGCAATTAGAAACAGAAAAAAAAAACCCATATCAGAAGAATCTTAGAATAGTAAAGTTATTTTAACCACTGCCTTTATTTACTTTGGTGTGTCTCACAACTAGGCACTTTCTAAATAACCATATGGTTTTCTTCAGGTTTCCCCTGGCCTGACCTAAATAACCATTCCGTTTCCTTCAGGTTTCCCATGGCCTGACAAGAAAAGCCACAAATACATGGCAAAACTTACCTGATCATTCACTTCTTGCCATGCTGTTTCTGTTAAAATCACCACAAGAACATAAGCTACAGCTATGTCGGCCCATATAAGAGGCTAAGACAGAGAATTCCTCTTAACAGTCCTTAAGGGATTTAGTCCGTAAAGTTATGCAGCAATGATTAGTAGATGATGCACAAGGAATTACCAGGAGTGGAAAAGGAAATACAGCCCCTTTTCTGCCTCCATTCGATCTATTCTTGTTACCCAAGACTGAATTTCACTTTTCATCCCCAAACTCTATTGGGCTCAGAACAGCTTCTGTGTTAACTACCAAGGCACACTACACAACTTAGCTTTTTAGACAGATTTTTTTCAGGAATGTAGCAGCAAGGTGACTTTTGACAGTTACATGAGAAACACTGAGATTTTTATGAGATTCACTGTTGAGTTCCTATGGGGGAGTTTAGGAAACAGAAAAAGAAGTGACTGCTTGTTTAGTGAAGATACTCAGAATAAAAACATACAGATCATGCACCCACAACAGTGATGGCTTTGGCCTGACGCAGACTCAGCACGTACTGAGACTGCAAAGATACTTTAATTACTCCAGCATTATTTTACAGGAAAATAAATTAATCTAAAGATGAAACCAGTACACCCTTCAGATTTGAAAAGCTGATTACCTGAACCAAGAGAAATTGAAGCCTGTCCAGGGAGGTGGTGGAGTCACTATCCCTGGAGGTGTTTTAAGAGACAGGTAGAAGTTGTACTTTGGGACATGGTTTAGTGGTGTTGATAGAGCTGGGACAAAGGTTGGACTCGATGATCTTGGAGGTCTCTTCCAATTGAAACTGTTCTATGATTCTATGATTCAATGCATTTTAACTTCAATGACAATATTCTGATGAGTATGTGTCCCCATCAGACATTTAAATAAAAAAAAATAAATGTTTTTCCAGGTTTGACAGTGGTGCTAACCAGTGGTCATCTATTTTAGTTTGTCTCATTCGATAGTCTTAACCAATCTACCCTAAAACCATATTTTAAAGCAGATTTTTACTTCATTGATTAATACCCCTTGCAAATATTCTATGGCACAGCAATACTAAAATGTATTCCTATCTATCTATCTATCTACCTACCTACCTATCTCTGAGCCAGCAGTGTGCCCAGGTGGCCAACAGCATCCTGGCCTGTGTCAGAAATAGCGTGGCTAGCAGGAGTAGGGAGGTGATCGTGCCCCTGTACTCAGCACTGGTGAGGCCGCACCTCGAGTATTGTGTGCAGTTTTGGGCCCCTCACTGCAAGAAAGACATGTCCAGAGAAGGGCAACGAAGCTGGTGAAGGGTCTGGAGGTCTTATGAGGAGCATCTGAAGGAACTCTGGTTGCTTGGTTAGGAGAAGAGGAGGCTGAGGGGAGACCTCATCGCTCTCTACAACTACCTGAAAGAAGGTTGTAGTGAGGTGGGGGTCGGTCTCTTCTCCAAAGTAGTAAGTGACAGGATAAGAGGAAATGGCCTCAAGTTGCATCAGGGGAAGTTTAGATTGGACATTAGAAAAAACTTCTTTACTGAAAGAGTGGTCAAACATTGGAACAGGCTGCCCAGGGAGGTGGTGGAGTCACCATCCCTGGAGGTATTTAAAAGAAGAGTATACATGGTGCTTAGGGACACAGTTTAGGGATGGACTTGGCAGTGTTAGTTTAACAGTTAGACTCGATCTTAAAGGTCTTTTCCAACCCAAACAATTCTATAATTCTATTTTATATATATATTTATGAAAAAGTAGTATTGCTACATTTTGACTGCATAGGAGGACATATGATTAGATACCTCAAGTACTTCTTTCTTCCATCTGTTAAGCTGCTTTGTTGACAATTCCTCCCACTGTTTTGGTCCTAGAAATAACAAGAGATATCAATATAAACATTGCTTTTCTTTAGAATGATACTTGGTAGGGTTAGTGTTATAACAAACAAACATTTAAGAGGAACATATTGCGTAGCAACAAAACATTATCAAATCTGAACAGCCTCCAATACAATTGCTGAAACAAAAACTTATAGGAAAACAAACCAAGAGAATATTGTAATTTCAAGTTAATTGAGAAGCCAGGCAAAATAAAATTAAAAAAAAATTAAAAAAAAAAAATAATCACATACTGAGTCTAACAACACTGAAATAAAATCCAAAAAGCATTACAGCCCTAGATGCTACAAAGCGGCAGGGGGAAAACCAAATTATTTTACTTTTTATTTAATGCATGCAGACCACATGGTATCTGAGGTTAGTTAAAGCCATAATTAAGGCTTTACAGGACTGAGATCCGTACTGATTGTATATCAAACAGAGGTCACTAAACCAAAAGCCTAACCAGGCCTTTACAAATCCAAGGGTGCATATTACAGTGCTGTATGCATGTTTCCTCCCTCTCTCTTTGGGCAATGTATATAAAATGCTGTAAAACGCAAGCTTCCTAGTCTGTAAAGGCCTCTAAAAAGTAAACCATATTTGGTGCAACAATTACATTGGCCTTGACATTGTGGTAGTGCTGCATGTGTATGTCCAGTAAGTTCAGCTTTACAAGAACTGATACAGCAATTTACATGTCATAATCCTCACTTCAGTAATAATAAAAACTGACAGAACATTTAATTTCCCAATAAAGCCACTAAGATACTAAGTCACAAGTCCCACTAAACCCCTCAGCAATGTATTTTAGAACAGGTTTTTTCACAACAAGGTCTCCATAAGCATTACAACTCTACAATGGATTGACAATTATAATGAAACACTGGAAAAATATGACATGGTACAATGTGGTGTAAATGTATGTTAATCACATGAATATTCAAGGAAAAGTTAAAGTGACTATCATCCTAGTCTACCCTGACATTCGATGTAATGGAAATTTATCAGAGCAGCCTTCAGAATACTAAGCAGAGATGAAACTACACAATCTATTCACGCGTATCAGCTTCCTGCTAATGTCTTCATTCTTTTGCTTCTGCTCAGGCTTCTCCATTTTGATTCTTCTTCTTACAAGTCATCCAAATATTTATCCTGAACTTTGCTAATAACTCTTTTCTGTTGTCTAAAACAGAGCATGAAATGGACTAAAATATCACATATAAATAAACACTCATATGATACCTGGAGAGTATCAAAGTTTAAATATGATATGCCATACCTAAGTGGACAAAATTTAGTATCTGTTGCAGTTAAGTGTTATATAACTATCAACACTTGCACGCTTTATGAAGTCTAAGTATACAGCATGTAAATATTGAAGTTTTAAGAAGTTCTTACCATCAGGCGTATCATAAGTGAGAGTTTCCATGGAAACAAGTAAATCATCTTCAAAAGCGTGATTATACTAGATAAAAAGGACCATTAGCGATTAGAATAAATTATTAAAGCAACACTTTTAACATGCATTTTAAATATCATTTTAATACAATTTTGGTTTGACCAAAACGTGAAGTTATCTGTATGTTGTTTTATTGACTGGTTAGAAGTCAGCAATCTGGAAATACTAATTCCTAGAGGAAACACATATACTTTAAGCATGTATACAAGTCATTCAATTTCCAGCCATAAGCCTATCACTGACAAAATGGGTCTTCATAGTTCTCAAAAGTGGTTAAGTTACTCTAGTACGGTTTCTTCTAAACTCTTTCTGTAGCAACTGGAAGTAACCACTCAGCATAGTCCTACAGCTCATGACATAAAAATATCCAGTCTAATACTACATGAGAAAAAACATTCTAGAACCAGACTTAATCTTATGCCAGCACCTAGACATTAGCACAAAACATTTCCCCAAACAGCAAAGCTGACATCCTTGAATAAATACATGCATCTCTGGATGGAGGTGTATGGTTCCCACATCTTTTAACACAAAACGGCTCTAAACTAAGGAAGGTTTGCAGCGGTACTCTTCTTCCTGTGGTTTCATTGAAAATACCTCACCTCTTGCCACCTAATTGGGGTTAAGGGCACTATAAGGACAACTCGAGCTTACAATTAAGTCACTTATTCATACTGGCAATCCCGGATCTGAGTTTTATGGATGTATTCAAGGAGCTGGCTTTTTATTGGCTTACTCACGCCGAGGCTCAGGAGTGCATGGCTCAGCACAAACTGCGGAGCTGCATGAGGTCCTGGGTGACAGCTGCTTTGGGAACTCGTGACACCACAAGTAACTCACTGACGAAGAGAATTCAACGTCAGTTACTGCAAATTAGTGCGCGGAAGGAAAACTGAACCTGTCAGTACTGACACACCAAGACTTCGAGGTGGTCAGGAAGGAGCGGAGAGCCCTGCCGCTAAGGCGCGCAAGGGCGGGGGGGCCGGGGAGCCGCGCCGCCCGGCAGCCTTCCAGAGGGGGTCGGAGGGGCGGTCAGAGGGGCGCACAGGGGCGGCCAGGCCCGGCCGAACGGTGACACACGCCATTTCGGCAAGGGAAACCCTAAGCGGGCCGCGCTCCTCAGGCAGGCCGGAGCCAGGCAGGGCGGC